GTGTCTGTATGTGTGTGTGTGTGCATGTGTGTGTCTGTATGTGTGTGTACATGTATGTACACTCATCCGGGCATGCTGCCTATTTCAGAGAGCTGTATGGATCCTGGCTGTAACGGATGGGCTGGGGTGGCTCTCACGTGTTTGGTTCTTTCCTCTATGGGTTGGTAGGGTGAGCTCGGTGCTAAGCTGCCCGTGCAAAGGGGGCTGTGCTTGTGGGGCCCGGGCGCCACAACAGCACTTCTGCCGAGGCACCCGGGCCCTGAGACTCGAGCGGTGAATCATCCTCACTTCAGTTACTTTAAAAGCTTGTCGTCGTTCTAATCCGATCTACGCTCATCTGAAAAAGCCCCAGGCGCGAAGCTGCGTCGGAGCGTCCCGCGGCCGCGGGTGCTGCCTGTCGGGCTGAGGAGCGCGGGACGCGGGGCGCGAGGCGCCCACGACGCCGATGTCCGTTCGCGCGCGCCGCCCCGGTCTCTGGCGCCACCTGGCGGCCGCGCGGCGGCACCGCGCCCTGTCCTGCACCGCCTCTCGCGGCCCCGCGCCGCCGTCCGCCCGGCCCGACGTCGCCGCCGCGGTCGCTGCAGAATTACCGCGCTGGTCGCTGCCGCTCGGATCCGCGCCCGTGTGCACGAGAGCCCAGCAAGGGCCCGCTGCAGCCCGGCGGGAGCTGCTCCGCGCGCGGCGGAAGCCCGCACGCGGCTCTCACGGCGCTGAGACGCGGTGGCGGTTGTGACTGCAGTGAGAGTTATTTGCCCGACCCCGAGCTTTCCTCTCCTCCTCTCGCAGAGTGCCTGGCGTCTCCTAAGAAGTAGCAGAGCGCTGTTCGCTCACCCGACACAGCCGAACCAGCCCGGCCTCGCTGAGTTACGTCTGCCCCGGGCCGCCCCGTGCGGCCGTGTGCTGCCACGGAGAGCGCACGTAAAAGGCGCCTTTGCTGCGCTGCAGGACAGGCTCCGGATAAAAAAAGGAGGAAAATCGGGAGTCTGGGAGCTCTCTAGGGCCGGGATGGAGAATGCACAGAACAACGGCCACACTGATAGAGCCCCGAGACCTGCTATGGCTGGGACAGAGGGACCTTCCCTGTGCCGTGGAGTGGTGCATGTATGGAGCCGCAGGGATGCTGTAAGGCTGAGCAGCCTTAGGATGCTCTCTCCTGTCATTAGAATGCTCCTCATCTCCCTGCCATGTCTCTCATCCCGGGTGCTGCTTACTGCCAGTGCCTTCTGCCAGGTGCTTGCAGTGTCACTAATCAATGGGGCCTGGTGGACAAAGCCAGCACCGCAGTGGGGGAGATGGCACCGCCTCCAGGGCAAGGATGGGGTTCAGTTGGGGCTGCAAAATTGGCATCCTGTGTTTCTGACAGGGCACTGGTGGGGAAGCACCTCATAACAAGACACATCCCTCCAAGCTCACAGCGTAGTGAGAAGACCAGAGAGCCTGAGTCCCAGTGGCAGCAGCAGAGCAGCCCTGTTTGTGCTCCAGGAGACTCTCCAGGCAGTGCCTCAC